TGTAAATCAATGCTGACTACTCCAAATCACCTTCTTGTCCTCCATGTGTTTCCAGGAGGATTTTCTTCATCATCTTCCCATTAACTGAGGTATGGCTGACCAACCTGCAGTTCCCCTAATCTTTCTTGGAAACAGAAATGATATTGGCTGTCTTCCATTCCTCAGGAACCTCTTCCAGTCACCACAATCTTCCAAAGATAATTGAGAGTGGTCTCATAATGACATCCAAGTAGCTTCCTCAGCATTTGCGGGTGCAAACCATCAGGTGCCACAGACTCATGTATGCCTAGTTTGAGTGCTCCCTAACCTGGTCCTCCTCCACCAAAGGTACATCTTCCTTGCTTGGCTTGTCCTCTGGTCTCAGGAGCATGAGATTCCTGAAGGCTAGTCTTATTGGTAAAGGCTGAAGCAAAAAGTTATTGAGTACCTTGAGCTTTTCCCATTCAGCAGCAGGCTCACATTTTCTTTAGTCTTCCTTTTGCTGTTTATGTATTTCTAAAATCCTTTCTTGCTGCCCTGCAGGTCCCTTGACAGATAACTCTAGGCCAGCCTTGGCTTTCTTAACTCCTATTCTTGCAGGATCAAACAGTAACTCTATATTCCCCTTGTGTTACCGATCCCTGATTCCAACTCATGTATGATTCCTTTTTATGTCATAGTTCAAAAAGGAGCTTTTTGTTCAACCATGCAGGTCTCCTCCTGCCCTTGCTTGCTTTCCTGTTTGTTGGGGTGGAACTTGGTTTTGGACATGGTGATCCTTGAATACCAACAAGCTCTCCTGGATCCCTCCTTTCTCCAGGGTTGAATCTCATAGGATTCTTCCAAGCAGATATCTTGAAGTTTGCTTTCCTGAAGTCCAGGTTTGTGATCCTGCTTTTTGACATGCTCCCTTCATTTAATATCCTAAACTACACCATCTCAGCTAAATAAGCCGATAACAATAATCATACTGTAGCTCCTCAAGTTGTTAGAGATTGCAATTCTTCTAAGAATTTACAGATTAATCTCTACTACCATTCAGTCTTTGTTTTCTGCAGTTCCTTATGTGAAAAGCAACAGATAATCACAAGTTCTGAACGTGACTTAGCCACTAACATAAATTCCAATGGAGACAGCTGCAAACAGCGTGCAGTCCAGCAGGATAGACCTAAAATCCACTGTCCAAATCAGCCATTAAATTTCTAAATTTAAAAAAAAAAAAAAATTCAAGCAAAAACATTTCACTGCTTTTTTGTGCTCTCCTTTTATTAACACGATGAGACTGCTCTTTTCTTGTACCATTAGAAACAACTGCACTGAAGTTCTTCCACGCTCAGAGACAGGCTACATACCCAAGTACTTTAAAAGCAGCCAGTGAATAGCACTGATTAAGAAAAGACCTATATTTTTCTTTCTCTGACTCAGTTTTTCCAAAAATCCACAATCAGAACTTGATAGTCTCTTCACTGTAGAAAGCAAAATACTTGAAGTAACCAGCATAATCCTCTCACAGGAAATAAAGCCTCTGGGACAAGAAACCTCAGATAAAGCTCTATTACTCTGGTGATTTTGATAAACAAATACAAAATTCCATTACTATTAGCTGTTCACAAACTTTTAAAGTTATAGCTATTGGTCCATAGAGATGATGGCCAAGATACTCCATAGAAGAAAACAGCCCTAACAAATAATACCCCTCAGGTCTTTTCTGGCTCCACTCACTCTTCCAAGAAGCCTACCCTAGTAAGGTTGAGGAGCAAAGAATAAAACACAAAGGCAGCAGAACTGAACAAAAGTCTTACCTTCCCCCATAAAGTATTTGTTATTTTTTCAACATAATGAAGAAAAAACTTACACAAAACATGCACTGGATTATTTCTAAATCCAGTTTATTATCCTTGTCTACCTTCACATTCAATTATGTTCAACTCTTCAGTTTCCTTATTCTACATCAAAGGATACAGAAAAGTTCACTCTGCATCAAGAAATCTAGTTCCTCATCCTAACACCCAGCAGCACAATCACATGCTCTTTTGTTGCATAGTACTTCCAATGTACCTTTAAACTACCTCGCAATGAATATGCTCTGATGTCGCACCTCTGAATGGAAAGGAACAGAGTTTTCTTAAGGTCTTAACGGCTAAAAATTTATTTTATTTCTCTTCCACCATCTACACTGCAAACTGTAGTACCAAATTCCTAGAGCCTGTCTACAAATTGCTTTAAGAATTCACAAAATATTTTTTCCTCACTTTACAAAAAGAATCAGAAATCCCACCCTGTTGTTCAAGCAATAATTTGGAACCATCACTTATTCCACAATAAGCTAATATAAGTAAGTCTTGAGCTGAAAGAGGTGTCATATTTGTTAACAAAATAATCATGTAAAAATGCAAACTCTGTATTTCATAACTCTCATTCATATTCTATAACACTACTCTTCAAAACCACTGTTGCTTAAGTCAAGCAATAATCTGCCATGTAGCAAGAACACAGAAATAGTTGAAATTTCAGTTATCTTCAAAATAAACTTGAGTTTTCAGGAAGAAATTAGTTTCTCCTCCCCTCCAATTCCTTAATATCTAAGAATCCTCTGCAGTTCTTTCATATTCAATAAAACAGAATTGGCTGAAATATGGGTTCTTTCAGCAGGTATCACCCCACAATTGAAAGTAATCAACACTTGCCTGAGAAGCCAATATGATGTTTTCACTGACATAAGCCTCTTTCCAGGAAAAGGTCATATTAGTAGTGATAAAAGAAAGTTTTTCAAAATCCTAAGCACAGAGACCAACTTGATCTGTAACACCAAAAGAGAGGAGTCCTCTGCCTTTTCTCTTAGGGAAAGTTAGTCTGAAGACCTTATTCTGAGCATCAAGGCAATACTACACACAAAATTATCTTGGACTGCAAAATTGAATTCCTTTTAGTTCAGCGGTATGTTATTTGTCAAGTATCTTCAGGTTACAGAATTATTAAAATATTCTGAACACACACAAACCCACATATATTAGTGCTTCTTTCATTTCATTTTCTCAGCTTCTATAGAACATGGGTGTGGTTTGGGGTTTGGTTTTTGGTGTTTGGAGAGTGAGGGCTGTAGGATGGAGGCTTCAATGTCAGAAGAACTGGTCATGGCATTTTAACCTGGCCTCTTTCCAGGCTAATTATGTAATCACTAAACATTACCCTCTTTATTACCTATCTAAACCTTTAAATACAAGATTAATTATTAATGCACTAATTAGAAGTCTGCTTTTCTTTATGGGAAATGCACCTAATTCTGCTTACCTCTGTATGACAAAGTTCAGATTCCTTTTTCAACTAATTCACCTTTACCTCTTTCACCTTTTTAATATTTGACCAACATGAAATTCAACTGAGGTAAACAGTGGTTTGCTACATTATCTGAGGTTATTGAGTATTACAATAAAGCCTGAAGAAGAGTAAAGTATCATTCAAGGAAGAATTACAGGAAGAACCATTCAGAAGACTCAAGCAATTTACACAGGAGTTGTGAAATTTCCCAGGCTGTCCTGAACTTTGCACAAAGCTCCAGCAATCAAAAGAAACAAGGAAAAAAAAAAAGTGTTGTTTGTTGGTGGTTTGTTTTTTTTTTTTAATCAAGACTGAAGTGGTGATGTATCATCCAAAGAAAAAAAAATAATTTGACACACACTACTTCCTCACAATGCTGTGTCCAGGTATGACAGAACCAGCTCCATACCACATACCACAGTGCTATTATGACAACAGGAACGTCTCCTTCAGACTATTCCACACATCATCTCCATAGTAGTACAATTTAAAACAAAGGACAAGAATCAAAGAAACCAAGAAACAAAAATCTCAATGTTGTCAAAACCAACTTTATAGTAACGAGAATATAATCTAGTATTGATGTTAAGAGGATTACTTATTTCTTCCAAAGTCAGAAATATTAGCAAAAAGGTCACAGATTCTTGTGCAAAGTGACTGGCAGCAATGCAGGCAACTCTCAAATCCACAAGTGACCTTGACCTTACAGTGACAAGCACTTAAAAAGGATAGTAGTTTTATCTGCTAAGTCTCTTCACACAGAATTACCATGGGCACTAAACACAACAGTACAGTGGTTTATTCAGTTTGTGAACATCATGAGTTTCTAATGCCTCACCGCACACCTGAATGCTCTATTTAAATGCAACACTACTGGATTATAAAAGGCTTAAGGCACAACCTTAACATACATTTCAACGGCCCTCAGCATAGTGACAGCATTAAAACAAGGTAAATACTTCATCAAGCAAGTGCACTTTTGCAATGCAAGAAATTTTTGCGTTACAAAATTGTACTCACCTTCCAGCACTGATAGTAATGCACAATTTTCAGTTATAAAATAAATATTTAAAGATCAAATTATTTGCTTCATATACTTAGAAGGAATTATAGGCATTCATGCCTATATATGTGCTCAAAAGCATATAATTTCTGAATCCATTTTTTCACCTAAGACACATGTAATAAAAATACAATCAAAACTGGTTTTTATCTTGCTATGAAATTTCTCCTTACTTAACAAAACAAGCAAGGAATGAGGAGAACAAACTGTTCTCAGGTACTAAAGAAGAGTAAGCTACCATTAGTCTGAAACAGAATACATTATTAGCAAGAAGACTTGCAATGATAGTTGTAATCTTTCAGAACTTTTTCCCACAAGTTATTTTAAAAACATCCCTTCTTAAAAATAAGTCTTAGTTAAAAGACTCACGCGTATACTCCTCTCAACACATAAAAGCAGATAAAACAAAATTATACCAGGAAGAGGTGTATTACCTAGATCTTTCCAGTAAAAGAAACAAAACCAAAAAACAAACCACTATTATTTGGAGAAAGCATTTTAAGAAAAGGTCATGTTTGAATAACTTTCATGCTTGCATACTTTAGGAAAACATTTAGATAACCTTTATATTACTTAACTCAGAGAAAATAAAATACTTGTTGAATAATAATGTCAGTAACTTTCATTTATGTACACTTACTGCAATCTCTCTACAGGCCGACATGGATATTCCTGTACCTTCAATTTGTTTCAGTGCATACTCCTTTTCATCTTTTCTGTAAAAAAATAAAAAAATAAAAATTTTTAGCTCCGACATATGACAATAATCAATAAAAGTTTAATGATTTATTTCAATTTGGTCTGGAAAAAAAAAAGCTAAAAAAAAAGCTAAAAAGCCAATTTGTTTTTACACATAAATTACATATAATTAAAAGCAAGTTTCCTTTTAACACACACTTCAGAAATTCCAAACAAACATAAAGAAACTTCGTTAACCTACAGCCATTTCTTTCTGAAAGCATACAGATAACTACAAATATGTCTACAAATTCCTGAAATTCCAGGATACTGTCTACTACCATGAAAAAGCCATGCAGTAGTATCCTATGCCTGGAAGAATCTCCTAGAAATACCCAGGAACCACAAGGTTCTTACTTTTGCAAGCCACTGTCAATCCACGTTTACTTCTGAGATACTATTCTTTTAAATGAACTATACTTACTATATAAGCACTGGCTACTGACAGACCCCTTCAAGGCATATGAAACTGTGTGCTCTGAAGTACAAAGCTGGAGAGCATGATAATGTTCAACATGAACACTACTACTACCCTATTAAATAATCACAGTTTGAAGTGATTTAGAGAAAAGACCAACAGAATATGAAAATTAAGCAGTATCTTGAAGCCCTTGCAATACAATGTAACCAGCTTACTGCTTACAGCACAGTTTTGCAGGATTCACCTGTCATCAATAGATGTTAAGCACCAATACCCACAGCGCTGATGCACTCGCCAATTACAAGCAAACAAACCACAAGCCCCCATCCAAATTCCATATGGCATTTCTGGTAGACTTCAGTTTCCCCTTCTACTAGTCCCAAGCCATTTTGGTTTGCTACATTGAAAAGTTACCTTGAATTCCTTTCAGCCACGACAGGTTTTAACTTTAAGCCTGCATCCTGCGCAACACCAGTCTCTTTTCCCACCCTCTTCCAGACCCCCAAAACTCTGAAATTCACTGGATGTGAAGTGGCTGAATGGAGGAATGTGGGGAGAGGATGAGATCAACCAGAAATTATAGTTGTCCACATGTTTTAGTGACTACAGGTGATCATTATTCCCAATAATTTTCAGTAGCAACTAAACCCACAAAGCATACCTATAGTTAACATCATGCTTGGCTCTGATTTTGCACTATGTATTTTGAAGCAAAAAAAAAAAAAACAAGAAAACTTCCAGAAGTATCCTGACTACACATGAAAACTTAGTGCACTGCAACTTTTGCAAAAAGTAAACCCACCTCTGAAGAACTAGGAGTCACTCAGCAGCTGTTCCAACTATGAAATCCAAGTTCTGGGGCTTATTCCTCTATGCTAATTAGAATGAAGCAGTTTCATACTGCAGTATTTTAAGCATATAACTCCTGAATCTGTACTGAGGCAGAGGGGGCTACCACCCAAAACTTTTCAAAGGCAAAAGAAAGCCAAAGAAGTTACCATCACTAAAATGAGGCCAAATACTGCATTAACACCTTACCAGAGTAGTTCAACAAGTACACTTTCACGAGTAAATTCAGAAGCATACGTGTCAGCTTCCCAAGCAGAAGGATTCACAAGAATCTACTGATACAGTGATTTGGATTCCTTCTTTGCTCCCCACTGGGCTGCCCTGTATTTTCATGAATTAGTCATTTAAAAGAACTTGGCTCAAGATATGGATGCAGAACCAAAACGCAGGTAACTTTTCAGGAAAGCAGTTCATACCTTATCTCATAGAAACTGGTTTTATTTTATTAATCATTTCAAATGTTAAGGAATAAATAATAAATGCCCATCTTCTCTCATACACTGTTCTGCTATCTGTCTATGCAGAAGCCTGTAAACTGCAAAGTATTAACTCCATAACTTGGATCGCTTACTGAGACTGTGAAGACAAAATTACACTGTCTGCAGAACCAAAACCAACTCTGGACATTTAAAATTGGTCATGGATTTTAAACTGCAGTCATGCTTAAAACAACACGGTACAACGCAATCCCGCACATACCATCTTGAATCCCCCAACAAGGTAGTCACTACAGCACTGTAGTATACCCTTTCTTTTAGCATGCCTACTTAACCCAGCACACCACCCCACTAATACAGCTACCCTTGAACTAGTTCTACAGATGCAAGCATTGCATTCAGTTACTCAGCCCTCCACTTTACTCAGACTTTCACACACTAAAGGTCACTTCAGAGGCTGAGCATGCCATTTGGCACACACTGCTTTCAAAAGTACTGCTTAACACCCCTGTCACTGCAAGTCTGTCATCACTTAACAGCCAGCCACTCTACACAGGATTTTAAGATACAAACAAGAAATTATGAAAGATGCTTAAAAAAAAAAAAAAAACAATCCAGCGACTTAAGGTATAACAGCACGGAAGGGGGAGGAGGGAAGACAATCTTAGAGCTGCACACAAGATACTTCTAGGACACTGGGGTTTATGAACAATGAGTGAAAATGGGGATAACGAAATACCTGAAGTAAATGAGTATCAAAGATAAAGAACTCCAAAGTTGCCATATTCTAGATCTCTCAAATTTTATTTTTTTTTTTTCCCCTAACAGCTTTGGAATCATAAACATAGCCTCCTTTAAATACATAAATACCATTTACTTGCTTTGGCAGAAATGCAAGTCTATATGAGTACTTTTCCAAAGTTAACTGTTCTTACTATGCAAATATAATAGCTGTTTAAAGTACTTTCCAGAAGATTTTCACCAAGTGGTATTTTAACTACAAATATTTCCTACTTAACAGTAATCTCAAGATAATTTGAGAAAGAAAGAAAAAATACATTTAAAATTTCAATGCCAATGGAATCTGATGAAATACACCATTTTATTGAGTAACCTGAATTGTATTAAATTGCCAAAGGAGAAAAGAAGAAATAGGCACTCTACTTACACTTGTAAAAATTCAATAAATAACATCAAATGGTGTGTGTGATAGGTAAGTATACTATTTAACTCCCTGAAGACCTATGCTCTTGTGAAACACTTGAGGCAGGGGAAAGTATTTCTACTTCATGTCAAATATACAGAAAAACTCCAGTAAACTCTGAACACATTTCAAGAACTTGTACAGATTATATACCCAGCAGGAAAGTTCTCATAGAAGCCTTTTCTGACAGATCCTATAGCAGTACATTTTTCACTAGAGAGCAGAGCAAGCATGATCATGTTTAAAAACCAAACCCAAACAACAACAAACTACACAGCTCGGGTATGAGGCAAAAGAAAGACAATGCTAGGGATATCCAAGGAGAATCAAGGTTTGTATCCATAATCACTTTCATCTGGTCCACAGAAATACTGTCTTTGGAGCAGGCCAACTAACTTGAAGGTCCTGTTGTTGGGGGTTTGCCTGAGGGCATGGAGCAAGAGGCACAGACCAAGGTTTAATCACAGAATCATAGAATAGTTAGGGTTGGAAAGGACCTTAAGATCAGCTAGTTCCAACCCCCCTGCCATGGGCAGGGACACCTCACACTAGACCATGCTGCCCAAAGCTCTGTCCAACCTGGCCTTGAACACTGCCAGGGTAATCAAGCAGGTTCTATTAAACAGTCAGCCCAAGCTAACGGTGGCAATGTGCTCACTGAATCTGAGATGAAAAACACAGCAAAACAGAATTGAAAGGGAACACTATTCCTTAAGAGGCTGTGACTTCACAAACTTTATTAAACCTTTTCAAAATCATGCAGAAGAATCTGCCTGATAAAACAAGTACCATGTCACACCACCACCAGGTTTCCCCACACTTCCAGTTCACTTATCCAAAACTAGGGGTAAAGATTAAAATCAACATTGTTTCCAGTTCCAGAAGCATTATAATTAATGCTATTTTAAGAGGGACTTACTTCTTACAAAAAAATTAAAGTGCTGATATGAGATATCCCCACCCTGAAAACTACCTGATTCTCTAATTTAGATTGCCATAGCCAGCATCCAAATGGAAGGCTCCTCATGCCTACCAGCAGTAGCTGAGAACATCCTTCTGTTATAAAAAAAAACATACCAGTGTAAGGCTGTAACTTGGTCTTTGAAATGAATCTTTTCTCCCTCACCAATAAATATTCCATTGTGCAATACTTCAGGTTAATGTTAACATTTTAATTTCTACTGTGCAAAGGAAATTTCTGTCCTCTAGCCCCCCAAAAAATTTAACTCAGCTGGCTTATGTCCAACTGCAGTAATCAATGCAGAAAACAAAAAAATATGATTATTTCTTGTTCTGGATAACGCTTTCAGCTTCCATTTTCCAAATGCTTTGAAAAGAACAAATGTCCTGGGTTCAGCAGTAGCAGTCATTTTTATCCTTCTTGGTAGCTGGTACAGTGCTGTGTTTTGACTTTCAGCCTGGGAACAGAGCTGATAACAATGATGTTTTGGTCTGGCCAAGGACTTTGTGAGCCTCATGCTCTGACAGAGAGGAGGGGAAGCCAGGAGGAAGCAGAGACAGGACACCTGACACAAACTGACCAAAGAAGTATTCCATGTATTCCATACCACAGTACGTCATGCCCAGGATGTAACTGAGAGTGACCTGGAAGGGTTGGGAGTCTGCAGGGTTGGAGGAGGTATCAGCCGGTGCTTGGTTAGGCTGGGGGTCAAGTTATCGGTCGGCTGGTGGTGAGATGATGTATTCTCTTCCCTTGTTATTTCCTTTATCATTATTATTATTGGTGGTAGCAGTAGTAATTTGTGTTATACCTTAGTTACTAAACTGTTCTTATCTCAACCTGTGGGAGTTGCATTCTTTTTGATTCTCCTCTCTGTCCCTCTGGGAGTAGGGGGAGGGAAAAAAGGAGGGGAGTGAGTGAATGAGCTGTCTGGCTGGGTTTAAACCACGAGAACAAAGTAACAAATTCACTTTAGAAAATTCAGAAGATTTTGAATAATTAAAACCTTTCAAAGGAGTTAAAATGTCTTAACTATTGCAATTGTACTTCAGAGTGCTCCCATCATATGAGAAACTACTTTGTAAACAAGCCGATGGAAAACTAGA